CGGAACGTGACACTCCGATCCTCATATACTATCCTGGTACCGAAACGTGGCACCCGATCCATATACTATCCTGGTGTCGGAACGTGATACTCCGATCCTCATATACTATCCTGGTACCGGAACGTGGCACCCGATCCATATACTATCCTGCTGTCGGAACGTGACACTCCGATCCTCATCTACTATCCTGGTACCGGAACGTGGCACCCGATCCATATACTATCCTGGTGTCGGAATGTGACACTCCGATCCATATATTATCCTAGTACCGGAACGTGGCACCCGATCCCCTAATCTCACTACTTTCGTTCATCAAGTCTTCTTTTATACAAAGGCATCATCATTAACAAAGTAGATTAGGGTTTCTTTCAAGATTTAGGATTCAATAGCTTCACCATGCTTACTTTATCACAATTATATAATCACATTCATGCAAGCATACAATTAAGCATATAGAAGGGTTTACAACACTACCCAATACATATCATTCGCTATTAAGAGTTTACTACGAATAACATAAAATCATAACCTACCTCCATCGAAGATTCGTGATCAAGCAAGCAATTTCCCAAAGCTTCATTTTTCCTCTCTCTCGATCAATCGTTCTCCCTCTCTCTGTTCTTTCTGTTTTTCTTATTTAAACCCCTTTTTCTTTTACCCTAATTAGCATATAATTAAGTATAAAAGATGATGAATTAACCCATTAATTAATTTAAGGTTATCTCCTTTAACCCTCAAGAAATTGGGTTATTAATATTCAACCACTAACTTTATAATTATAAGCAGGAATAGTCCAAAACGCCCCTTAAAACATTTAACAGACATCCGACCCAGCCTGGGATTACGCAGTCTGTGACGGGTCGTCGTGCCTGCGACGGTCCGTCCTGCTGAGTCGTCACAGAGTTCAGAGACTCAATTTCATCACAGGGTCTGTGACGGTCCGTCGTGCCCACGATGGTCCGTCCTGCCATGTCGTCACGAAGTTCAGAGAGTCGATTTCAGTACCCAAATTTCAGAATTCTAAGTGTTTTGGAACGAGACCCCCACGACGGTCTGTCGTGCTCATGACGGTTCGTCGTGGGATCCGTCGACTTAACCAGTTTTTCCAGAAATAAAATCTGCTGCTCAAAACGACTAAACAGGTCGTTACACTATCCTATTAAATTAATATAATTTAATTAAAAAATAAATTTATTCTTATGAATTTTATTTTAATATCAAACATAACTAGAAAAAAAATGTCTCTTTTGATTCCTCACTCCACTGCAACCCATTTTGATCAATTCCTCAATTCAAATGTAATAAATACCCCCATCTTTTTGGAGATGAATAAAATGTCTCTTTTGAGGGTTAAAAAAAACCGAAAAAAAAAATTTATCCAGAAAAATCAATTAATTCTTGAAAAATAGATCAATTTTATGCGTGAAGTATTCATAATTGGGCAATTTTACCTTTAGTCAACTAACTCTTTTTCTTTGGGCATATTTAATACATAATTGAAGAGACTTTTTGATAAATTTTACATCTTTAATTGAAGATCATATAATTTGTTTTTTAAAATTATCTAAATTCAATGAATCAAAACTAAATAAATAAATTAAAACGATGAAAACTACTAGTTACCATTACATTTCAAATTGGAATATTACGTAATTATATGACTTAAAATAGCATAGTCTTTGAAAATTTCTACCATTTGAATTAATTAAAAAAATCCCCTGTTTCCTCCTTTTTCTCTTAACATTCGGATACATCACTCCAGCTTTATCATATACATTACAACTTTGTTTGTGTACAATATATCTAGTACAAAATATTATTGTTTATATATAACATCAATTATTTCAAACTAAATCAATATGAAGCTGATTTATAATTATATATCTGACACATAACGTAAATATTATTTGATATGTATCAAATAAAAAAATAATGTGTTTACAAATTCTAAAAATTAATTTAAAAAACTTTCACAATAAACATAACTAACGCTCAAATTATTGAGATTTCTAATACTCCATGCTTTCAAATTAGAATAACGATTGAAAGGGTGGGTGGTAGCTCATCCCATCCCATCCCATTTATATGTTGGACTTTAGCACATTGGCAAAAGACAATACGAACAAACTTGTAAAAGTGGCCCATTTTCAAACGGAAAAAATCCCCAAAATTCCTGTAGTGGGCCCTACCTACCCAAATTCAAATTCTTGGATGCCTAAACCCGGTCCCACTCCTTACAAGTCCGTTAGACTCAAATATCGAAATTTTCCTAAACTACTTTGCACCAAAATACAAAGGGAGGAGGAAGAAATAGTATTCTCAGCTCACAACAAAATTATGCAAGATTGATTTTGAGTGAAACAACCAGAGCTTTCATGGTGTTTCTTGTCGGCTGCTGCTAAGAAAATAATGGCGTTTTCACCTGAGAAATCAAATTTCAGGTCACCATTGAAAGGGCCGCCATCTCCTAGCTGGAATGATTTGTTGCTCAAGAACAAGAAAGCACTCAATCATGTCCTTTTCACTATGCATCTTCAATCAAGGTCTAATAAGCAAACCCCATCTTCATCCCCTTCTCCAAAACTTCGCAAATCCCTAGATTTCACTCTTCCCTCACTTGTATCCGATCCAATTTCTCTTCTTTCTGATGAAATACTTCTTTCCATTCTCTCTAAACTCCCTGATTCACAAAGAAATTCTAATTCTCTTGTATCTAAACGCTGGCTTAATCTCCAAGGTCGTCTCGTTCGGTCGATTAAGCTTCTTGATTGGGATTTCCTTGTTTCGGGTCGGTTGTTTGTTCGGTTTCCCAATCTTATCCATGTTGATTTGGTTAATGGGTCTCTGATTTCACCGGGGAATGCTGGTGTTTTTTGCTCTAACCGGTTGCTTTCTTCTCATGTGGATTGTAATGCTGATGCGAAAGATTGGTTTCTTAAGGAACGATTTGTGTTGCCTTCTGATGAGATTGATAATGGGTTGAGAATACTTGCAGGTGGGTGTCCTAATTTGCGTAGATTGTTGGTGGTAAATGCTAGTGAATTGGGATTGTTGGGGGTAGCTGAGGAATGTCCAACTTTGCAAGTGCTGGAATTGCACAGATGTAATGATCAGGTTCTTCGTGGTATCGCAGCCTGTCAGAACTTGCAGATATTGAGATTGATTGGAAATATTGATGGGTTTTATAAATCTTCGGTTACTGATATTGGATTGACTATTTTAGCTCAGGGATGTAAGAGATTGGTGAAACTGGAGCTGAGTGGTTGTGAAGGGAGCTATGAAGGGATTAAGGCAATAGCACAATGTTGTCAAATGCTCGAAGAGTTGATTCTTCGTGATCATAGGATGGAGGGTGGTTGGTTGTCTGCTCTTTCCTATTGTGAAAATTTGAACACCTTGAGGTTTATGTCTTGTAAGAGTATTGATCATTGTGGATGGTTTGATGAAGATGTAGGATCTTGCCCAACACTTGAAAGATTACATTTCGAGAAATGCCAATTAAGAAATAAGGAGAGTTTGAGAACATTGTTTCTACTATGTCAAGAAGTTAGAGAGGTTACTTTCCACAACTGTTGGGGACTGGATAATGAAATGTTCAGTCTATCCACTGGTCTAAGGTATTGGTTATATTATTCTGTTCTCGTTTACTTTGCTTGTTGTTGCTGGAAAATTCGTGCTGGATTAGCATTTTGTTATGCATTTGAAGTACATGAACTTATGGCTTTATGACCTTGAAATGTAGTTCCTTATTTTTATTAAAAATGACTTTGTAGTGTTGCTGTAACTCCCACCCCATGTGTATAATGGACGGCCAAATGAAGGGATAGTTTGCTTGTAATAGTGCATTTTATTTTGGTCATAGTATGCCCTTTGATCAATAAGTGTGATAGATTTCCTTAGCTATCTGTGTTGAGGATAGATTGATCTTTAAGGCCAGTTTGTATATGCTTTTGTAATCATGCACCCTCTTGGTGTTTCAGTTATTAGTGTTAACAATAAAAAAAGCCTTACCTTTTCTCGAAGAGTATACCCTTCCATCTTGCATTAAAGAAACCACATAATGTTGATGGCATGACAGTTATGTTTCGATTCATTATTGATGCTTGATTTATCAATGATATGTGTACTTTGAACTTGCTTCAGTTCTGACTGGCAATTTAGCATCATATCTTGTTTGCTTTCACTTGGAGCAACAGTAAAGTTGTCTCTGTGTGACCTATATATAGTTCACGGATTCGAGCCGTGGAAGTAGCAACTAATGCTTGCATTAGGAGAGTAGGTTGTCTACATCACACCCCTTGCGTGAACGTTGGCTGCTTTTTGCACCAGGCTGCCTTTTTTCGTTTACTTGAATAAAGGGCCTCTAATCGACTAAATAACATTATGTTGGATTTTGGGTGTCACAGCTTCGTTTTGGTGTTATTTTCAACAGGAGAGTGAAGTCTCTTTGCCTAGAAAGCTGTTCACTGCTCACAACTGAAGGCCTCGAATCTGCACTCCTTTCGTGGAAGGAGATCCAGAGCCTCAAGGTGATATCATGTGGCAATATAAAGGATAGTGAAATCAGTCCAGCACTTTCTACCTTATTCTCCATGCTAAAAGATTTTCGGTGGAGACCAGACACAAAATCTCTTCTTTCAGCTGGTCTTGTGGGAACTGGCATGCGAAAAAGAGGCAGGAAGTTATTCAAGAAGACGTGCGACTGGAAGTCACTGCCTGGTGCATAGACTGGCTTCCTCATCATGCATTCAGACAATAAATTATTCAAGAAGACGTGTGACTGGAAGTCACTGCCTGGTGTATAGACTGGCTTTCTCATCATGCATTCTGACAACTCTACTAGATTTTACCTCCTCATTTATGCATATGAGAACTCTTAACACATGAAAGAGGTCAGTGCGACACGTTGCTCATTATCCTGTATTTGTAGTCGCTTAAGTATGTAACGTAGGAACTGAAGGATCGAAGATCAGCACTTTCTCAGGGTAGAGATAGAGAAAGAGGCCTAAGTTAATGTATAGAGCTCGATGCTGTAACCTTAGGAGCATTCAGCTAAAGCCATCTTGCTGTATCTTTGTCAAGCTTAATGGTATTTCTGTATTGGAACCCCAAAAACTCTTGAAAGGGGTTTTCCTATCTATAATGTTATAAAGAATTTTGGCACCTTTTATGCCATGACTACTGCCTTCCACAATTGTATGAAAGCATATTTGATATGAACCATACCAGCAAGCATGTCATTTGTGGAGGAGACCAGGACCAGAATAATTTTCTACATCAATGGCATCTATGTCGAAACGATTTTCTTTTTTGGGGTTTCAAGACCTTCAGTCCTTTGGTAACTAAATTTATGGATCGAAAACTTGAAAATAAAAAAGGCTAGTAACCTTCTATTTGAGAGTTCTCTTTCAGACCTATTTTGATATAAGATGCAAAAGCAAAAGGAACCAACAATCTTGCAACATGTAAGACGTAATTTTTCATGCTCATGCATATAAATGATCCATTTGGTATTGAAATGGAACTACTCATCTACTCATACTCCGTTTTAGACTATTACAATTGGGGCACTCTCTATGATCAACTTACCTATAATATTTGGTTCCGCCACGATCAACTCATCCAAAATTTGTTCATCACATTTATGCTCCATAGATGCAATTGTCGATACACCATAGAAGAACTGAAGTACAGATACAAAAAAGTTGATGAACTTCATTAAATCAGTGATGGTCCTTGAATACAAAATTTTGTACGATTGATCTCTATTTGATTTGTTTACAAGCACACGACACAAGAGGAAGAGGTAAACGAATTGAGTCACATTATAAATATGTTGCTCGAATTAGTAGTTTCGAAGAAGATCGACGACTTGCAGTCAAACGTTTTTCTTCATCTCATGTGTGACGATATACCTCACACATGCAAAATAGTTAGTGATTATAATAAGCAAAAGACGTAATACATAAACATGCCTTTAAATTTTGGTCTTAATTAACATTATGTTGTTAAATCGTTCAACTTTTAATGTGCACAAATAGAAACTTAAATTATCATAAAATTGAACGAGTAAACACATTCTTTTTGACAAATTTCACACAATTTGATATGTAGAACGTATGCATTTCATATGATTTGATAGGCAGGATGCATGCATCTCACATGATTCATTATTTAGGATATAAGCGTCTATTATTTAATTTTACGATAGTTTAAGTATTTGTACATTCAAAATTAAAGATCATCAATATTAATTGAGATGAAATTAAAATATTGCACATGCTCAAAAGGTCTAAAGCAGCTTCGTATGTAGTAGAATAGCGCATGGTAGCCCATGAATCCTTTATTAGTTTCTTGCCTTTCGAAGTATACTTTGGTTAAGATGACACATAGCATGAAATATTTCCTATTAATTACATGAAAATTAGTATTATATATTAAGTGAAACAGAATAAATTATAAATATATGCCCTAAAATATATTTTTTCTCAATCGCTAAAGCCAAAAGGAATCCACCCGACAGGCACAGTTCAATAAAAGCGAAGAAAGTTTTGTGTGCAAAGCAGAAGCACAAGTTGTTCGTAAAGTTGATTATCTACATTCTCCGTCGATATTTACCGGCATCGTCTTCCCGGCGGGCACAGTACCCGAGGTATTTTATCAGTGAAATATGAAGAAGGATAAGGCGGTTGTTATAGAAAGCCCTAGTACCAATGAAGAAGAAGATTATGCACAAGAAGATGCTGCCGCAGCTAATCATTCAGCTCGTCGTTTTTCTACCCGAAACGCTTCTTCCAAATACGATTTCGTTAAGGTTTATATTCCTCCTTTGCTGCAGTTTTGTTTCAGCCTTTTTTTTTAAGTTTAATTTTGTGTTCGGTTTGCTTGCTTGCTTGTGTTTTAGGTGAAAGTATGGCTGGGTGACAATGCCGATCACTACTATGTTCTCTCTAGATTTTTGCTCAGCAGGATGCTCACCGTCACTAAGGTTTAGCATCGATCCTTCCTTCCTTCGCAGATTATGAATCACATGCAAATTCATAATCACAAGTTATCATATCATGAATTGAATCAGATTTTTTTTTATTTTTTGACAAAGGTATCAGATTTTGTTTTCTATGTTTGAAAAAAAATAAAATTTAGTATCAAATTGGAATTGTATGGGAGAAAAAAGAACAAGAAAAGGTATTCGCTTGAGCAGCTTATCAGTTGCCCTGTAAAAATACAAACATGTACTACCTGGTTCACTTTTACTAGTATACCTTGGATTTTGCACGCCCCTTCATAAACAATGATTAATATGAGTATTTTACCACAATATCCGTTATAGTTGATGTATATTATTTTGGATAAACCACCAAAAAATATTTTTTTTTCTGTGCTAAAAGTGAACTAATATAGTGGACAAGTAAAAATGAACGGAGGGAGTATATCTCTGGGTATCACCTTAAGTTCTGCTGCTTCTTATAGTTGATGACTAAAGTTGTCGCTTACTAACACTGTTCCTATGCAAATTCTAACATCACAACTCTGCTTTCCTTGAATTGGGCAATATGTATTGTTATTATGCTGTCACTTGTTACTTTGTTAGTGTCCCAGGTTTCCTTATTTCAAAAGGATGACCTACTACCAGATCTATAGCTTTTGGTATGAATGTGGAGTTAATGTGCACTGCTTCTCGTTTACAGATTCCAAATCACGTGGCTATTAAAATTGCACTTGAGCTTAAAAAGCTTCTTGTTGACAACAGCCTACTCGATGTGTATGAAATCAAAATTTGTATCTTATTCTCATTGAGTTTTACCCGATTTGCTCCATAGTAATTAAACAATATTTCTTAATGCAGCTCACAGTCAGATTTGGAGGCAAACTTGTTCAAGGTACCACTTGTCTTATTCTCGGTTATGTTCGGTTCCAATTCTTTTCAGAGGTTCATTTATTTTCCCATGAATACTTAACTACCCAAGATACTTAACTGTAAATATTTTTGCTTATTCCATTGGCTCTACATCTTGAAACAAAGATGTTTGTGTTTCATATTGAATTACCCGTGTAGGAGAGTTAAGATGCAAAATTGATAAGCATGTTATGCTGTCAGGAACCAACCCTTTGGTTTAGGTTAGTATAGGTCGTTCATCGATCGATTGTTTGTAAAAACAAACACTGCCATAATACATCTGTGCAAAACCTATTGCCTCAACCACAAAAGTCATACATGAAGAGATTTTTCCAAAGAAATATTTAATTTCTGTACAAACATCTCATACTAGTTTCTGTGCAAGTTGACCTTATAGTATGTGACTTGATTTTCTTTTCTGTTAGAAGTTGTTCAAAGTTCTGAAAGTAGCTAAATTGTTTGGATGCCATGCAGCTTATGGAGCGAAGAGGTTTTGGAGAAGAGTATATAAACCGTTATAAAATGATTACGAGGTTGGCAATATTTTCTTTGTCTATTTTCCCTTATCTTTTCCTATTGAGGATCATTTTCTTGTATATTCATTTTTGTAGAGGAGGGAGCAAGAGGAAGGGAATGATTGAAACGACCTAATTTATTATTTGATGTTGCTTTCCCTCTGTTTTTGCCTATCTTTATGTTCTTAGATTTCACCATATGCGAGTGCCTTTGGTAATTCTTGTTTGTGGTACTGCTTGTGTTGGAAAATCTACCATTGCTACCCAACTTGCACAGAGGCTGAACTTGCCAAATGTCTTGCAGGTTCTTCTTTAATCCCTCTGCATTTTTTCGGTCTGCTCCTATCTTTTCCTTTGAGCAAGCTGTCTGTTTATCCTTGCTTGCTAATCAATTGTATGTGTTTTTTTTCAGACTGCCATGGTGTATGAATTGCTACGGACATCAACAGAGTATGCAACTGTCAATGCAGATTTAGTTATTTTGGTTACCTGTTACTTCCAGAAAACTGTGTAGTCATGTTGTTCATGCTTAACTAAAGGTTATCTGAGAAGTGTGATATCATGTAGAGCTTAAATACTTGTATACCTTGTAATTTTTTCAGTGCACCTTTGGCATCTTCTCCTGTATGGGCACGTGATTTCAGTTCATCAGATGAGCTAATTACCGAATTCTGCAGAGAATGCAGAATAGTAAGGAAAGGTAATTCTTGTTGTAAACAATTGTTTTGGAGCATGCCAAGAAATTTGATCAGCATCTCATTTTTTTGTAGGTTTGGCTGGTGACTTGAAGAAAGCTATGAAAGATGGAAAACCAATTATAATTGAGGTATTTGTCCTCTATAAACTACATAATGAGTCTTTTCCGTTACTTGTTTTGTCATGCTTAGATGTTATAGACACTTGTGTGACCACCTCCCTATCTTTCTCCATAATCCTATCTTGACATCTTGATCGGAAAGAAGCATTGCTACTGGTCCTTATAAAACTAATAATAAAAAATAAGAAGAAGAAACCATTGCCACTGGCAGAAATGAGTTCCCAAGATTAGAAGTCTTTAGTTTTTACATTGAGCCCCACCTCTGTTAGAACTAATTATTCTTTAAAAAGGAATTTTGTGGAGGAAAGATGGACTATTTCCAAAGCTCCCAGCGGGTGTGCGTTGTATCTATAAAACAGATTTATCTCCTAATATATATAGTTGTACATCCAATCACTTGAGAAAATTATGGATGTATACTTTACTTTTCCTAGATTAGCATTTCAGATTTGCCAAACACACACACACACACACACACACACATATATTTATATATTAAATAATTGTACATCCAATCACTTGAGAAAATTATGGATGTATTGGAACTAATTTTCTAGATTAGCATTTTAGATTTGCCAAAAAAACTTAGTAGTCCTAAACCTCCTCGATGAGTTTATATATGCATCTGATATCGATGTGACTTGTGAGTGCTCTCTTCTGATTCTAAGTCTAACTTGTTCTTGTTCTTTATATACAAAAAGCTTTATCAAAAGGTCTATCTTATTCTTCTTACTAACTAGTTTGGATTTTCATTTGCTCCATAAAAAATGAGGGCTTCTTGTCAGATAACACAGTTTGAGCTCATTTATGTGGTTATGCATCGTCAATAATAGAAAAAGTGGCAATCACTCTGTAACTTATGATCAGGAAGGAAATGATGTGGAAGTGCACAATTACCTTATTTGACATCCAGAAGGAGAGTGAATCTGGGAGAAGGATAAATCTCCAC